ATCACTTTGAGACTTTCATATATTTTGGATTTGAACCTAGGAACCAAATTTCTGAATCATGTGACACTTGTATTTTTAATTGCTTTGAGGAGCAACCATACTTTTTGCTTTAAACAGGGAATCTAACTCAGAAGCTTTTGCTTGCCAGATACGTGCGATGCTGCTGAGCTATATCCCCAGCTCTAATCATGCTGTTCTTCAGGGCCTTTCACCATCTCCCATTCTCATCAACAGTACTCCAATGTTCTGATTCCTCTATATCCTCTCCAATATGTATTTTCTCTCATTTGATATAGTTATTCTACTATATGTGAGATGGTTCTGTATTATTGAGTTGCTATAAATCTTTTTTTTTTCTTTTTATTGAGTTTATTGGTACAATCTAGGTATACAATACAGTTACATTCATCATTGGGATCCTGTACCTTTACATAATGGGTCTTGATTCTCATTTTTTCCCCTTGTCCCTGCCCTCCCTTCACCCCCTCCTCCGCTCCCCATTTACAAGCACTTTATTTCCATTTTTCAGTTTCTCATATTTTTTTCCTCTCCCTTATTACCTTTACCCCACCCTTCCCACTTTCCCTACACCTTTAGCCCTTTACTTCCTATTTCACATTATTAATTATCTCATTAGGATCCTGTGTACTATTATAGTTTTTCACACCAGAGAAACTATTCGGTATTTCAGTTAAAGACATCTCTGTATGAACATTAAAAATAGGGAATCCTAAAATAAAACTAAAAAGGAAAGTAAAAGAGAAAAGGCAGTGATGTAACATTAAAATAATCCTTAATTCTGGAGATGAAAATGGTCCCTTAACATATTTAAATTGCTTCTTGCTCTTATAGTCCTATTCTTTTTTTCATTATTGAGAGAATACTTTATTCGTTTTTGTAATCAAACCCACGTAGATATGACTTTACATATTCAGTACAATGCGTTACCCCTGTACACATGGAAAAAAAAATTAACATTTCTAGACCAATATGGCTGTCCATTTCTGTACAGTGCCAACTCAACACAGTAAATTGGGATAACTTTTTCCAAAGTTGACAGCACCGTTAAAGTT